CTAAAATGCACAAAGATTGAGAACCAGAAGGGATCTTCACACTATGTTGACAAACCTTCACCTTATCAAAGGAGTAACACCAATTCCTCTAGTCCTGGGGCCAGTCCTCACTCCTTCCAGTTCCTGTTCCACTGCATTGCTTTCTTTGCAACTGCTCACAGGGCTTGAGCCAGGTGCTTGCTCTGTCTTCCTGGGCTGCTGGATTTTAGAGATGCTTGGACTCCAACTCTCTCCAGTGACGCCAGGCTCTCTAAGGTCACAGAGAGAACCATCACCGCCCCAGAATGACATCACTGTATTTTGCTGGGGCCCAGGCTGGTCCCAGGGATCCAACTCTGCCTGGCTTAAGTTCTTTTCTTTAAGCACTCAGCTCAAGCCCTGGTCTCTCCCAAGCCACCAATGTCAACCATCTCCCCCATATCAAAAATTGGCCAAAGCCATTAGGATACTTTCTACTGTGTGAGTTTGGACTCTCAGCAGCCTTATCTGCAGAACAGGCATAAAAACAATATACTGCCTTTTATACCCTATAGGATTATTATAAGCAAAAACAAGCATTTTAAACATTAGAGATACTGGAATTAATGTTTGATTATTATTACCCACCCAACTGAGAAGGACAAACAGGCTAAACATGATTGTTGAGGGGACACACCTACAGAGGAGTCCAAACACCTAGGATACTGCTAACATCTAAAGCCTGACCTCAGACAACTGTCAGACTCACATCATTCAGACCCTAATGAATGGCTGTGCTCATGAATTCCAGGGAAAAGCAAGCTGTCCTCTTTTTATTTGTGTTGAAAGTTTCGAATCTCCTGCAACTGTAACTTACAGCGCTCTGCTGTATTCTCTAACACTCCAGGCCCACAAAGCCATTGTTTTTGACAAACCAACCAGGGAGAAGGTACAGACAAAAAGAACCCCAGAGGAGGAGAACAAAGGGCAGAAATCATGGACACTGGAGAAGCCGCCCAGGGACTGCCCACTGATCTGCTGCAGGTGCGAATCCCCTGCACTCTCTGCATCCCTCCAATTTTGTGCTGCCCCTCACAGCCCTGGAAGACCTTAGTGGGATGCTGAGTCTTGCACACAGTGCCTGCTGCAACCTTCTGGGAATCTCTACTGTGCTCCCCTGGATTCCGGAGCCTGTTCTCCAAATCAGGCTTGGCCTCTCCCTCTAATAAGATATGCATCTAAGGGGGACATGGGACTATTGATTTTTTTTTCCCCATCAAGTGTGAGCTGCTGCATTTCATTATTTCAAATCTCACCGGCAAGGAGCCCTGACATCAGCCTGGTTCATGCACTGTGGAGTTGATAGATGTGGCAGGAATGCCTGCAGCTACCTGAGAGGCCGTGCCCCACACTCCCATGCCTTGGGCAGTTTGGCTCCTGGAGGAAAGTGCTGCAGGCCCAGGTCCTGCCTGGCCACCACCCTCTCGATTCAGGTGTGCAGCAAGGATCCCAGAATCTGCAGCCAAAGCCTAGCCAGCTTTGCAGTAAGCCAGAGGTGGGATTTGTTTCATGGTTTGTAAAAAGTTGTGACATGTTTCTTCCAAATGCCCAGCCAGAGACAATCCTTCCACAAGCTGCCAGAACTCATTTCACGTGAAGCGTGAAAAATCTCAAGAGCTGAGGAATGAAGAACTCCACCACAGACTAACACAAGCCACTCAAGCATTTCTAAAGACTGTTTGACCGCATCCAATGCAGCCCTCCATGTCACCTGTTGTGATTCTAATGGTTCTGACCTCACTCCATGGTGAGCCATATGCAGGTGAGACCAAGTCACAGGCTGTCCTCTGCTGGTTTTTGAGGTGAACAAAACCAACAAAAAGTCAGAAGAGGCTGAGTTAATGGCACCAGGGAGAGGGCAGCTGCAAATCCTTTTTCCCAGTTTATGCCAAATAAACACAGAATGTCACACTCCACACAGGGATGTGACTCATGGAAAGCCTTAGAAGCAGTGGCATTCTCACTGTACCCCTGATCTGTTCCCACCCAACATCCCAGTAGCATTCTAGAAAGCAGGAGTAGCATCAGCATGGGATGGAACCAGTTGGAGGAGAGTTAAGTTCATTTTTAAGTCATTCTTCCAGACTCTTCAGAGAAGGACTTGCCAGAGAAAACAAGAGTTTTTTTGTTTTGTTTTGTTTTTGTTTGTTTGTTTGTTTGTTTGTTTTGACAGGCAGAGTGGACAGTGAGAGAGAGAGACAGAGAGAAAGGTCTTCCTTTTGCCGTTGGTTCACCCTCCAATGGCCACCGCGGCCGGCGCGCTGCAGGCGGCTCACCGCGCTGATCCGAAGCTAGGAGCCAGGTGCTTCTCCTGGTCTCCCATGGGGTGCAGAGCCCAAGCACTCCCTGGCCACAGCAGAGAGCTGGCCTGGAAGAGGGGCAACTGGGACAGAATCCGGCGCCCCGACCGGGACTAGAACCTGGTGTGCTGGCGCCGCAAGGCAGAGGATTAGCCTATTGAACCGCGGCGCCGGCCTACAAGAGCTTTTTAAAGCTCAGGTGTTGGAATCTCTGAGATGAGGGAAAATCAAATGGACATGTCTTGTAAGTGGCTCCTATTCATTAGCATACCCCTGTTCTGTCCATTTCCATACTGTAGAATTCCCAATTCTCCAAGTGCTTAAAAGAATGTTCTCCTTTTGTCTACTGGAAGAAACCATGTTTGTGGCCTTTACTCAAAAGGCAGCTTGGATAGCTCTGCTTGTCATGCCCTTCTGCTAAGTTATTTGCTCCAAAATGCACATAGGAAAAGTCAATTTAAACTGCTGCTTTGATTTTGATCATAACCCCCAAAACAAAAAGACAGTGAGGTGTGGACATTTGGCTCAGTGGCTAAGGTGCTGTACATAACATCCACATCCCACATTGGGTTTGAGTCCGACTCCTCTCTTGATTCTATCTTCCTGCTAATGCACATCCTGGGAGACAGCATGTGATGGCTAAAGTACTTGGGTTTCTGCCACTCATGTGGGAGACTTCGACTGAATTCCCCTCTCCTGGATTTGACTTGACCCAGGCCTAGCTGTTGCGGAAGTTTGGGAAGACAATCAGCAGATGGCAGATACATCTCTATCTCTGCTGGTGAAATAAATGAAATAAATAAATAACCATTTCTAAGACATTGAGTCTTCTTGGCCCCAAACCAAGTCCTGCAATAATCCTGGCTGGCAGATTCCCAACAAGCTACACTAAAAGATGATGGCTTCCACATGCACACAGGAGTCTCCACCAGTGACACCCTCAGAAATGCCAAGTGCTGTTAAGAAGGTTCTTTGCAAGCTCATGTGTCACTTATTCTTCCCTATGCACTTGCATGAATTCGAGATGAGTAAATCAGAAGCCACTTTTCTGGAGACAGCACTCTGAGTTTGTAATAGCCTTTTTGAAGATCTTTGTGGGTGATGATAATAATAGTTATAAGGTTGAGTGGTTCATTTATCCAGGATTTTAAAACAATACTAGTCTCTGAAACCTCTTTCATAAAATTTCATTATTTCCCTATTTCACAATTTGTCCTGATCTCTCCTTTCAACCTAAGATCGTTTCCATTAACAACAAAGTCAGCTTTTGTTGTATCTAAAAGGTACTCATCTAGCTGAGTCACCTACAGAATATACCTCCTAGTCTGCATTTTCCTAATGACAACCAATAATTCATAGCAAAAATTAAGAACGGAATCCTGAACAGTTATTGAAAAACACTGGCCCAAGCAACAAAATGTCTCCCATTTGTTGATTCACTGCCCAAATACCCACCCCAGCCATTTCTTGGCCAGGTTGAAGCCAGGAACCTGAAACTTGAAGTCATCATTTGTTCCTCCAAGATGTTTTAGCAATAACTGGATCAGAAGTAGAGTAGCCAGGACTCACACCAGCACTTTAATAGAGAACTCAGGCATCCCGAGTGGTGGCTTAACCTACTGCAGCACAATACCCACCCCAATCCCTGGAATGATAGCACACATCTACTTTGGTGAAAAGTGTAGTTCATTTACCTCTCTCCAATGAGCCATCCTTAGCAACTATTGGCATCGGAATTTCTAACCAATTGAACTCCAGTAGTTTTCAAAGGGAAAGAGAGTGTTCATGGGGGTGTTTGTAAATGAAGAGGGTGCTTATAAGAATGGGAAAAGGTGCTGGCATGTAGTGAGCTGGGTGGGCAGGGTAGGAAATAACTTGCAATGCTCAGGATGCCCCACACAGTGAAGACTTTACCCCCCACCCCCAAAATGATAGTGCTTCCACTGAAAAATACTTACTACCGAAAAACTAAAGATGAGACAATACAGGCAAAATAATTTCAATAAACAGGTCAAAGAGATGAGCAATCCAAAATCAGTTAGGGGAGTGGGTATGGTGCCAAAACACTTTAAGCCTCCACATGGCATGCCCACATCCCAGATCAGAGTGCCCAGGTTTAAGTCTTGCTTCAGCTTCCAATACATATTTCTGCTAATATACCTGGGAGGTAGCAGGTGATGGTCCCAGTACTTGGGTTCTTGCCACACACATGGGAGTCCTTGATGAAGTTCCTGACTCATGCTCTTAGCCTAGCACATGTACACAGGCAGCTTGGATAGCTTCTACTAAGTTATTTGCTCCAAAATGCACATAGGAAAAGTCCATTTAAACTGCTGATTTTGATCATGACCCCCAAAACAAAAAGACAGTGAGGTGTGGACATTCGGCTCAGTGGGTAAGGTGCTGCATATAACACATATATGTTACATATATCATATATATAATATAGCATATAATATATATGCATATATTCCATATGCATATATTATATGTATTACATAACATATAATATATATGCATATATTCCAGCTGTTGCAGACATTTGAGGAATGAACCAACAGATGGAAGATCTCTCAATCTCTTTCTCTCTCTCTCTCTCTCTCTCTCTCTGCCACTCTACCTTTCTAACAAACAAACAAACAAATAATCTTTAGAGAAAGTTATTTAGAAAATGACCAGTACCTCTTTATGGTTTCAGGTGGCTCCACACAGAAAGGAACCTGATTGGCTGAGTCCAGGGTATCCCGCAAGGCTTTGCTAATGTCCTGCAGCTGGCCAGGGGACAGCTGGCCCAGCAGGGACATCAAATCACAGCCCTGCCACTGGAGTTGCTGCTCTTGATCTGCTATTTCCTGTCGCAGCTGCTGATCTTTTGCTTCCAGCACAGACATCCTTGCTTGGAGAGATTCAATTTCTTTCTATAGAGAATGAAGAGACCAGATTTTATAAATTAACCCTGCTCATAGCAAACTGCTCCGCAGATAATGACTCATTTAAATGAGAGTCGGCCATATGCACAAGAGCCACAAAGTTCCTCATCTGAGGCAGGCAGATTTTAGGAGACTTGCTGAACTGGAAAAATGATGCCAGCTTTGTATTTCTGATGAGTTGGCATATGGAAAGGCATTCTCTCCCAAGCATTAAATGAATACGAGGAGCGAGCCAACAATTTGACTTGAAAGCCCCCAGCACATTAGTGGCTGGCTTCATCGCAGATGGAAGAGCTAGAACACAGGGCAGCAAGTGCCATGCACTTGACCCAAGAGTTAACTGCATAATACTAGCCACAGATCAAGACAAGAAAAGCAAATCATCCTTGCTTGGACTGTTCCAAAACATGAAATTTACTGTATAGAGAAATTCTTTTTACTATCACTCCTTTTTAGGTCTATAGGACTGAAGAAACAAGGAGATGCTACAAATAGTTTCATGCAGTCTGAAGTTCACAAAAATATTAAGTACATCTAATCTTCACTAAGATAGCCAACTGAAACTTACATAATCATACAGTATTATCCAATCAATGAATAAAACAAGCCACAGGTAACTGAACACCCATTGAGTGCACAGTGATATCAGATGATCACCTCACTTACCATATCATTCTGAATTTAAATTTGGACTCTTTTAATTAACATACTCCTGTGTTTCCTGCATTGGCTTCACACTGATAAGAGCACCACTGTAATCCTGAGATCCTCCCCAATTCTTATTTATCATCTCTCAGCCCCAAGTTTCCAATCACCTACAGCTTCCACTTCCTGAATACACTTTCAATGTGGGAGGGGATTTAGGGAGGATACAGTACTGAGGATCTACCACTAAGATGTTCTAAGAAAAAAAATGCTTCCATTTTCCCCACAATTCCAAGATTAAAGGATAATTGACAATGTCTGTCAACTAACTTGTTTGCAACCGCCTTGAGTTTCCAACACCTTACCCTTTTCTTTCCTTTAATTTTGTCAACTGAAGTAAAACAAAACTCTGGCATTTAGTATGGTAGGACACCAGGATGGGGAATGATTTGCAAACTTCCCTATAGAGTACATAATTTTTCTGCCTAAGATGTTGATAGTACTTTGAATGAAAAATATAGACTGTTTGGAAAACATTTTTCTCTCATCTGTAAATTGGTTATAATGCACATAATATAAAATTTAGCATCTTGAAAATTTCAGGTGTCCAGTTCTGTGGTAATATGGACATTCACATGGTTCTGCCATCATCTACCTCAGGAACTCATTTCATCTTTTTTCCCAGAAACCTTTTACTTAAGGAATAAAAGCTTCATATATTTCATAATTACAAATTTTGGAACATAGTGATTCTTCCCACTCTACCAGCCCACCCATCTACTCTGCTACCCCTCTTCCTCTTCCCTCTCCTATTCCCACTCTTATTTTTTTACTAAGATCTATTTTCAATTAGTTTATACACATATGATTAACTCTATGTTAAATAAAGAGATGAACACATAGTATGAAAAAAACTGTATTTCAACAGTTGAGACAAGGGTTGTTCAAAGTTATTGCTTTGCAAAGTGTCCATTTCACTTCTACAGATTACCTTTTAGGTTCTGTACTAGTTATCACAGGTCAGGGAGAACATATAGTATATGTCCCTTTGGGACTGGCTTATTTCACTAAGTATGATGTTTTCCAGTTTCATCCATTTTGTTTCAAGTGACCAGATTTCATTTTTTTAACCACTGTGTAGTATTCCATGATGTACATATCCCATAATTTCTTTATCCAGTTTTCAGCTGACAGGCATTTGGGTTGATTCCAGCTCTTAGCTATTGCGATTGAGCTGCAATAAACATGGGGGTATAGATAACTCTATCATAAGCTGATATCATTTCCCTTGAATAAATTCCCAAGAGTAACATAGCTGGGTCATATGGCAGGTCTATATTCAGATCTCTGAGGTATCTCCATACTGTCTTCCTTAGCGGCTTTATCAGTTTACATTCCCACCAACACAGGATTAGGGTACCTTTTTCCCCAAATTCTCGCCAGCATTTGTTGTTTATTGATTTCTGTATGAAAGCCATTCTAATGGGGTGAGGCGAAACCGCATTGCGTTTTTTTTTTTAATATTTATTTATTTTGCTTGAAAGTCAGAGTTACACAGAGAGAGGAGGGACAGAGAAAGAGAGAGACAGAGAGAGTCTTTCATCCACTGGTTCACTCCCCAGATGGCCTCAATGGCCAGAGCTGTGCCGATCTGAAGCCAGGAGCCAGGAGCTTCCTCCAGGTCTCCTATGTGGGTGCAGGGGCCCAAGGACTTGGGCCATCTTCTACTGCTTTCCCAGGCCATAGCAGAGAGCTGGATCGGAAGTGGAGAGCCGGGTCTTGAACCGGCGCCCTTATGGGATGCCAGCACCGCAGGTGGTGGCTTTACCTGCTGTGCCAGAGCGCCAGCCCCTCTCATTGTGGTTTTAATTTAAATTCCCCCGACAGCTATTGATCTTGAGCACTTTTTCGAATGTCTGTTTAGCCATCTGGATTTCCTCTTTTGATAAATGCCTGTCTAAGTCCTTTGCCCAATTCTTAACTGGGTTGTTTGTTTTGTTGTTGTGGAGTTTACTGATCTCTTTATATATTCTGGTTATTAACCCTTCATAAGTTGCATAGTTTGCAAATAATTTCTCCCATTCTGTAGGTTGCCTCTTTGCTGATTGTTTCTTTGCAGTGCAGAGCCTCTCAATTTGAATTAATCTCATTTGTCAATTTTGGCTTTGATTGCCTATGCCTCTGGGGTCTTTTCCATGAAGTCTTTGCCTGTGCACATATCTGACAGGGTTTTCCCCAATATCCTCTAATAATTTGATGGTATTGGGTCACAGATTTAGGACTTTAATCCGTTTTGAATGGATTTTTGTGTAAGGTGTAAGGTAGGGGTCTTGCTTCATTCTTCTGCATGTGAAGATCCAGTTTTCCCAGCACCATTTGTTGAAGACACTGTCATTGCTCCAGGGACTGATTTTGGCTCCTTTGTTAATATGAGTTGATTGTAGATGCTTGGATTGATTTCTGGCATGTCTATTCTGTTCCACTGGTCTATCCATCTGTTTTTTTTATTATTAGTAGTAGTAGTACCAGGCTATTTTCATTAAGACTTCCCTGTAGTATGTCTTCAAATCTGGTATTGTGATGCCTCCAGCCTTGTTTTTGTTGTATAAGATTGCTTTGGCTATTTGGGGTCTCCTGTGTTTCCATACAAATTTTGGCATCATTTTTCCTATATCTGAGAAGAATGTCCTTAGTATTTTGATTGGTGTCACATTGAATCTGTAAACTGCTTTTGGAAGAATAGACATTTTGATGATATTGACTCTTCCAATCCATGGACATGGAAGATTTTCCCATTTTTTGTATCTTCTATTTTTTCTTTAATATTTTATAATTACCATAGAGGTCTTTGACATCTTTGGTTGTCAGCCATGGCATTGTCTGTTTATACAGAGGTTGTTGATTTTTGTGCATTGATTTTATATCCTGCTACTTTACCAAACTCTTCTACGAGTTCAAATAGTCTTTTAGTGGAAGTTTTTGGATCCCCTATACATAAAATCATGTCACCTGCAAATAGGGATACTTTGACTTCCTCCTTCCCAATTTGTATCTCTTTGATTTCATTTTCTTTCCTAATGGCTCTGGTTAAAACTTCCAGGACTATATTGAATAGCAATGGTGGGAGTGGGTATCCTCATCTGGTTCCGGATCTCAGTGGGAATACTTCCAACTTTTCCCCATTCCATAGGATGCTGGCCATGGGGTTGTCATAGTTTGCCTTGACTGTGTTAAGAAATGTTCCTTCTATACCTAATTTGCTTAGAGTTTTCATCATGAAAGGGTATTGTATTTTATCAAATGCTTTCTCTGCATCTATTGAGATAATCATATGATTTTTGTTCTTCAGTTCATTAATGTGATGTATCACATTGATTGATTTGCATAAGTTGAATCATCCCTGGATATCAGGGATAAAGCCCACTTGGTCTGGGTGAATGATCCTTCTCATTGTTGGATTCAATTGGCTAGAATTTTGTTGAGGATTTTTGCATCTATGTTCATTAGAGAAATGGGCCTATAGTTCTCTTTCTCTGTTGCTTCTTTCAATTTTAGGAATTAAGGTGATGCTGGCTTCATAGAAAGAATTTGGGAGGATTCCTTAAATGTCTGGCAGAATTCAGCAGTATAGCTATTCAGTCCTGAGCTTTACTTTTTAGGGAAGGTCTTTGTTACTGATTCAATTTCCATCTTGGTTATAGGTCTATTTAGGCTTTCTATGTCTTCATGGCTGAATTTTTATGTAGGTTGTTTGTGTCCAGGAATCAATCCATTTCTTCTAGTTGTCTTGGTTTGTGGCATATGGCTCTTTGCAGTAATTTCTGATGATTCTTTTTATTTCTGTGGGGTCTGCTGTTACATTTCCTTTTTCATCTCTTATTTTATTGATTGGATCTTCTCTCTCTTTTTTTGGTTAGTTGGGCCAATGCTGTGTCAATTTTGTTTATTTTTTCAAAAAACCAGCTTTACATTTTGCTGATCATTTGTTTTTTTTTTGTTTGTTTGATTGTTTCAATTTTGGTTATTTCTTCTCTAATTTTAATTATTTATTTTGTCCTGCTACTTTCAGGTTTGGTGTGCTGTTGTTTTCCTAGGTCCTTGAGATACATTGATAGCTCACTTATTTGGTGCCTTTCCAATTTCTTGATGTAGGCACCGATTGCTATAATCTTTCCTCTTAACACTGCTTTTGCTGTATCCCATGAGTTTTGATATATTGTATTGTCATCTTCATTTGTTTCCAGAAATTTTTTGATTTCTCTTTTGATTTCTTCAATGACCCACTGTTCATTCAGGAGCATGTTGTTAAGTATCCATGTGTTTGTATATGTTCTAGAGAATCC